ATTGCACTGCAGTGCAGCAATTCTAAACTTATTCTAACCTATTCTGTGATAATGCTTTTTTATGGTAAATAGCCATTTCATCTACCCACTATGTTCTGAAATAACGCTGGTCGTGCTTAAAAAAAGAGCTGGGTGCTTAATTAATGCAACAAAATCTTAAAAATAAGATCATCGTCTGAAATAATGCCTTTAGTGCTGAAAATTAGCACTGCATGCTTAACTGCTGCGGTTAATACTGAAAAATAGTACTCCACCTGTACATAGTATATTGAAACCAACCAATCAGCAAAGAGTAGGTTTCACACAGATTACGTAGTGTAACGGCTACAGACTTGTCTGCGAATTACATATAATGTGATTGATCTAGTTGGCCAGAGGTGTGACAATAAATAAGAATACAGCGAAAACATTATTCAACAGGGGGGTAGGGGAAGGTGAATTGGTCGCATGAATTCATACGAAAAATATATTATGAATAATATATTTTTCGTTTGTGGAATGTAAGCGAATTTGAGACGAGGTCAAAAATGAAAAAAATTTATAAACCAGACATGTCTGGTTTATATGTTATGTATTCACACCTTTGACCTAATTCCCTCACAGGTCTTATTTCTTAAAAAACCATACACATATATACGTTTGTAAACCTTGATAATAAATTCGTTGAAAATAGTCTCTCCGCGAAATATTGCAAATATAAAACACAAAAATTTACAACGAATTGAAGGTGTGGGGAGGGTGAAAACTCAAATCCCACAGATAAAAAAGGATACCTGTCATAAGCGAAAGTTAAATTGTTTCGATTGCTGAATACTGTCTACGAGTTCATATATTTAAACCTTGGGAATCCAAATGAAACAAGGGGTGACAGATTGTGTTGATTCACATATGAAAACATATACTTGCTGTAAGGAAAATGTTAACAATTGTGATTACAATTTAATTGGTGGACTGTGATTACAGTTCACATGTCATCCCTTTTCATATTTAACAGACTGATATTTGCCTAGAAGTATATAAGCAGTACTCCTCACATACAAAGACCATTCTTACAGGATTTATAAATCATGCGGGTGAGTTAGATTTTGGGTGCATATTTGTCCATTTCTATTATAAGGAAAACAACTCAGATAATGTGTTAAATACGGGTATTCAACATTCTGCAACAAGTCGTAAGAGAAGAATATCTTCTGGCAGACTGCATGAATGCTTTGGATACAGCTACTCAACATTTTATCGCCGTCAAAAACGGTTACGTGATGCAGCATTCAGTGACTGGGACTTCTGGAAACGTTACTGCTCATCCAAAGAAGAGGTGGCAAGGGATAATACAGTAACTTTGCCTTCAAGTTCAACTGTACAGGGAACAGTGGGTTTACCTAGTACTAGTGAGACCGTCGCTGTTGTTTCACAAATTGAAGAGAATCGTAACATTTATTATAATGTAATAATTAATTTCAATAGAACTTCAGGTTGTTCCTGAAAAGATGACACAAAAAGAGCTGGTCAGAAAATCAATTATGGAATTGTTCCTTCAGAACAATGTAACAGGGAAGCTTGCGCAAAATATCTTGGACTTTCCACAAATAAGAAATTACTCGGTAATTACTTAAAAATAATTATTTATTTAAAGATACAAATATGGAAATCATTAACCTGTGCACGAAAATATTGAACATTATGACTACTGACAGAAAATCTCGACAACAAACCTACCCTCCAGCAAACGGTGACTTAACACTGGAGTTTCCGCTCGAGAATGAAGACCAGTTAGAGATGCTGGAAGCATCTTTAGGAGACGAAAAGTACAAACAGCAATATGTGAGTTGACATATTTAATTCTTATTTCTTGTAGACTGCTAAGATGGCTAGCTGCCTTCAGAGTGATCCAAAGTTATCACTTAAGGTCATGATGCACCATATTATAAAACCTGAAGTGGGTTTGAAGTTTACATTCCAGGGGACTTTGACAAAGTCAAGCATTGTGCCTTATGCCCTTTATAAAATAATGAGATGTAAGTTTCATTAATGAAGTAATTAGTTCTCTAGCTTTAATTATGTCGCACTTCTCCGGCCAACTAATGACGACGAGAGAGATTGGTTACATGATGGATAGGGCCACGAAATCGTACTTTCATAATTTGAAAGATCGTGTCCAAAGACGTAAGCGGAAGCAAGGAATTCAGGTAATATTGCGAAACGCCTGCTTACTTTTATAAGTGAACGTTTATTCAACATGTAGTAAACACAACGTTGTTTTAATTTTTAGGCAAATGAAAAGGATACCGGGGGATATAACAGTGGCACTTATGTAAGTAAACTTTCATAAATGTAAATGCTCAGAATGTGCTCAGCACAATTTTTCACCCACTAATATTTTATTTTGCTTATTTGCAGGATGCTACCAGTGGATCGCAATTGACGGGATTGCAGTGACATTGTACTACAGTTTATAAATACAAAAGTCTCTTAATTGTAAAAACTGATTTCTTTCTGAATTGCGAGGGCGTAGGGCACAGGTGCTGATAATAAGTAGAAGTATTTTCGTTCTAAGGTAAAGCGAGTAAGTGCTGAATACGGTCTGCGAAGGCTTGAATTAGGCTGAAAAAATTTCCACTATGTGCTGAATTAAGTCTTTTCGTTCTAAAGTAATGCGAGTCAGTGCTGAAAATGATCTGAAAGGGCTGAAATAAAGCTGATAAGCAAACCCAGTAGGTTCTGATCTACTCCTGACAATGCTAAAAAAAAGAATACAGTGCTGAATTAGCGCTAGTCATGCTGAAAACTAGCACTGAGTTCTAGTCTGTGCCATTAAACAATTCATTTCAGAACAAATTCAGAATTTACTCACTATAGGATGCTAGAATTATTTTAGAATTACTGAGATTTAATTCAGAATTATAGTGTCAGCATGCTGACACCTCTGAATTTTCTGTTTCATAAGCTGTAGCTGTGACTGCTCTTTTCAGGACCCAGAAGTTACAGATCATTAAAATTTTCGTCAAAGGTAGTTTAGACCTTGAGAGAAAAGTTCCTAAGGGATCTGTAAACTAAAAAACAACGACAAACCTTCTCGAACCGATTTCTTCCTTCGGCACTCAATACATCTGTATACAAAGCCATCAATGGCTTCTGTCTATTTTTGTATATGCATAACTCCTCCGCATTGGCAAATTTTCGACAAAGCTATCAGTCCGTTATCCAAAAAGTAATCGAAAACATCCATGATTACATCCGAAAATGATGCAGTCAGCTGATTCCTTCCTCAAGGTCACTTTTTTGTCCGAGGGTCGTTTCGGTTTGGGCCGCTATTCTTTAGAGTCACCATTATTTCGTCGTTTCAAACATATTTCATGGTTAATTATTGTGTTTACACTGATAACAATTTCTACATCTGTATAATTCTTTTGTTCTTTTTCAGATAATATCTACTTTCGGGAATTTCATGGGTTTGGGTGATAAAGAAAAAGATACCTGCACTGTTGTCGATTTTGTATTACATGTTAATTCATTAATAAATGTATTCCTCGTTATTCGTTTGTTTATTCTACTTGATAAGACCGAATATTAGCCCTTGCGTAATTTGTGAGGTATAGAGTATATGAGGCTATCTTTGAAATACTAAGTAGGAGCAGATATTCAGAGAAGCCTATTGGTAAAACATCATGTTGTAGGAAAATAAAGTAAATATGTCTAAATCGTAGAGGAGGTATTGCGATTATAAAGCGTTTCGAGTTATCTATTGTCTTAGCAGAATACATATACTGATTCGCGATTCATAGTCACAAAGTGAGAGTAAATCTACCTGAGATAGTTTGCTTGTGATTTTGGCATGCTGCAGTGTACCATAAGGAGAGACTATACCTGTGCTGTTAGATGTATGACTCAGTGCAACTACGGTCATCGTAATAATTAAAAAAAGAATGCCTAGGGTTCTCAGCCAAAGAATACGATACGTTGCTATCTGCTCATATAATCACGTAAACAAAAGTTTTCCAGACGCCGCATTTACTCCTAACAGTTCACCCTCAACTTCTAAATTAGCACGTGCTACTTATGTTACTGGAACACAATCGCATTACAACAGAATGAAGACAGATTCACTGAAAAATTGTTTATTAAACAAAAATCAGATTTCAAATGTACAGATAATTCAGATGAGTAGTCCTATGTTACCGTCAGTAAGTTCCATAGGCGTACACGGCACATATATGTTTTTCCATAAGTCTGAAAAGGTTTAAGAAAAGCATAATTAACTTGGGTATTACATGTACGATTTGAATAAAAAAATTTTCCTGATAAGCATTTACAAGTAATCACTTTACAAACAATATATATATATATATATATATATATATATATAAGTAGCCCAATAGTTTTCACTTAACTTAAGGGACTTCGCAACTTATCGTTGGTCGATATCTAGTAGGTCCATCGAAGCATCATGAAATGATAAAATTATTTAACGACAAGTTATGCAGGAGTTTTCAAAGCTTGTACAAATAATTTAGCAAAAATGACAACAACTTTATGACAAATAATAGGTCTTGACAGCAATAATAATAACATTCATGATCATAGTGACTATAAAAACAATAATAGGTATTATTATCGCAACGAATTCATCATTAACTTAGATAGACAACTAACAATTGTTAGTTGTTATTACCTCTTCAGGACATTGTTTGCATTCTTGACACTCCTGAGAAGTCCTTAGATCGTAATTTGAGATGAATTCGTTGAATTCAGCAAATAAATCTACTGCTATATCATTTCCTTCCTGAGCTGTAATAATTTGTGTTGTCAATTATCTCTCCAATTTGAGAAAACGTTCACGGAAATTCAGTACTTAACCAAGCAGCAAAATGATGTTTGAAATTACCTCAACTCGAGTGACAAACTGGCCAATCACGAGCGAGCGAATCGCTTGTTTATCTCATTCGCGGTCACGCAAAATTACGGCCGTCTACAGGCTGCCCAATTTCCGCAGTCGCGTTAAGATGCTTAAGACCTTGGCAGACATACCTACTTGGATTTCAATTACTAAAGGTTCGTAAAACCCAGTCGGAGGCTTTTTAGTGTACACAAGAAAAGTGGGAAAAACCTACGGAAATTTCCATTTCGAAAGTGGGCTATTATGAGAAATGACGTGGGGAAAAATGGGTGAAAGCGTGGAAAATTTGGGAAGAGAAGTGAGTAAAGTGGGAAAAGTTGAGATGTGAAAATCTTATTGAGCATGCTGAAAAAGGAGAGGAGTGAGTATTTTGTGTTGTATTTAACCCATGTGGGTAAGTGCTTTTTGTCCACGTCCCAACCGACCGAAACTGTCCATTTACCTCACGTTTCACCCGTTTTTCCCATGTGCATTCTCGGACTGGGAGGTTCTCTATTACATGTGCCTAGGTAAATGTTCACTTCTGCAATGTGCTGGAAGTCAATGCTAACAGAGTCTTAGGATTTCGAGAAATACATTTAGAGATGTTGGATTTAAGGGCACTTTTGAATTGATGAAATGTAAACCAAACGTGGGTAGACGCAGATCTTCACTCCGCTTAACAAAATATACCACTCACCTACATTGTTGGACGAGATGCATTCCATGTTTCGGACACGTGGGTCCTCTGTAGAAAGTTCGTAGCATACTTAAGGTTCACTGCAGAAACTTTGGGTCCATTACGGAGTAACGTCCTAACTTAGGGGCGAACTGTCCCACTTTCTGCAATGTACCTTAAGGTTTTTTGGCCCAAAATTTCTGCAGTGGGTCCGAAGAAAATGTCAGCTGGAACTTTTCTCATGCTGATGCGAATTTCGACTGCGTTGTCAGTGTCTTTAATATGCCCGGAGTTGTTTTTACCTATTTATGCTCGAACTTGTTGCTGCTTAAGCTCACTTCACCAGAGGCTTTGTAACTGGACTTTATTTCAACCACTCGGCTGGTTTGTAAAATGAAAATAGTACTCACGGTCTCGCAGCAAGTTATTTTTCTTCCCACATAGCACCAATATGAATGTTGTCTTTTTGCGGTAACGTAAGTACTGAGTACCAGTAATCTTTGGTGTAAAGACTCAATATTCAGGGAAACTTATTTCCACTGTACAACTAGAGTGCTTATGCGTACTTTTCAATCTAATGTGTTTACATGTAAATACAACGGAAGAAACATAGTAGTTATGGATTTCCAAAGTTTATTCCGAATTTCAGTCTCCTATGCACTTGTTACAATATATATATAGTCCATACTTATCTGATATCTTGTCCGGAGCATTGATCGACTTCATTCGGTTTTTCTATTGCTTATCATTTATAGTTTATTCCCATGAAGTTTGCAAGTTTGTTACGTTGTATTGTGTCCGTCAGCATACATGTAATTTTGTCTCAAGGCCTGATATTAAACTAGTCTCCTTAAGTTGTCGTTCACATCATATAACTTTCTGAAAGTTGACGATACTGTCCCGTAGAATTGTCGGAAATTTCTAGTGCAATAGAACAGAATTTTCATTTGCAAATGTCCTCCTACTTGTTTTTGAGATGATTATGATTTTACTTGTCCTGTAAACTGTGATGTCATTAGAAATTCGTCACTAGCTAGCTAATTAACTTTCTGCAGTACTTTCTACTGTTCATAGAGTTCTACCGAAGCTGAATTACTTTCGACAGTACTTCTAATGATTCTGAGAAGTAAACTGGAGTAGGCTTTACACATAACTATGCTGAGTAGACAATTTTACTCAGTAGTTCAGAATAGAAAAGCAAAAGTATCAAGACTGTCAGTCTATAATACAACCATTTAAAGTACTCCGTAGTTAAGATAAAACCATTTATCTTCCTCAGTCAGTGTGCGAGACGTTTTGGATGATCTGAAAAGTCGTATATAGAAATATGGCAATTGACTTGAACCGTTTTGGAGATATGTAGAGTGGAGATCTCATATAATGATGACGCTGAATTTGTCGTGTTTTTGTACATCGATTTAGTTATTGCTCAACTGCATATACGTATATATGGAAGGCCTACTCAGAAAAATTGGGCAACCTTTATTACTAACTGTTGGCTTAAATGTACTTCGGAATCGGTGAGAAACACTCGATAATTAAATCCCATGAGAGAGTATCTTTACTGCATTCTTGTTAAATAAGTCAACAGTTTATGATGCTGGGCATTATCGTTGACTTTGCATAAACTGAAAAATGTCGGTGTAGTTATATTCAAATCGTAAGACAATGAATTTATAACTCAAAACTGATTTTCTCTCGCTGTGGATTTGAAGCATATCACGAATACAAATTTTACCCCTATAATGTTTATCGTCTCAAGAGTAGACAGTGAACTTTAATCTGATTTTCTGTCAGTAACCACAAAGATTTTTTCTTAGTTAAAAGTACACTGAATTTTAGCTGTCTGTACAGATGTTTCAATAATTTAAAGCACTTGCTAAACCGCTCTGTTTCACTTTTAGTGAGATTTAAGATATAGTTTTGCTAAGTCTGTAATAATTTTAAATTACCAAGATATAAGGATCACAAGTTAGTGTAAAAGTCAACGTAAAACATTGTAAAGAACAAAAGTACTTTTCAACTTAAAATACACTTTATGGATAAGATTTTATTTTGATAAATCACACAGTATTGTACATTTATATTAACTGATAAATGTGCAATACTGTGTGATTTATCAAAATAAAATCTTATCCATAATGAACTTGTACTCTACCACAGTGCCCAAGTTTTATACTTATATTAAAATACACTTTTTTATTTAAAGACAAAAGTAATTTAGCTTCAAGTTTGGGGTCTCGCATAAGTTTATGGCGTGGAGACATAACACATCTTCAAATTGATGCTATTGTGAATGCTGCGAATTCCCAACTAAAAGGTGGTGGAGGAGTTGATGGAGCCATTCATAAAGCAGCTGGATCCCAGTTGTTGTCAGCCTGTCAGAAACTTGGTGGTTGTCCAACTGGAGATGCGAAATTGACTTCGGGTTTCAACTTACCTTCTAAATGTAAGACAATTTTTTTTGTTATAAATATTTGAAGCATATTCAAAGTTGTTTCTATGTAGTAGTTTATAATATCAAACTTAAGTGAACTAGGCAATATGCAACTTTTCAAGGTGTAGTATAATTTTCATCATTGAGATCTCTCGTGACCTGTTCTTCAGTAACCAGTGAAGTATTTATTACTGACTAAGGATCTTGTTTAACTTCCTAGAAGTCTCTCACGACAGTTTCATTAAAATCCCTTCAGCACCTTGTTTACTATTCGCTCCTTGATTTAGTATTTCGGCTGTGGGAAAATTTGACTTAGTTTTCGTTGTAGTAGATGTGGCTGTCCAAAGTGGGAAGGTGTAGACTTCCTGGTTGAGGTCCTCAGGACGGTAAAAACCAATGGCTGGAGACCACTGGTGATATGGCTCAAACTCATCGTTCTCAATGACTGACGCAGATGCATCCACTCCTCGTGACTTATAATAGCCAATAAAACTATATTGTTCTTCCATTTTACTATTCTTTTTGCCTCATATCTCTGTTTATTGTCTCTATTTTGAATCTCCTTTTCTTTCTCCTCTTACTTTTCTGCTGAGTAAAGTGTGGCAACTCTGCTGCACATCTGTGCGAAGTTATACGTTGAAACCAGTCAGTCAGAGGTGCGGCTCATTGGCTTTGTCAGTTGACTTTCGGTAACTGGGCCGTGCGTTCGAGTCCCGCTCTACTCATTCCAATTTAGGGGCATTGAATTTCTGTAGAGAAAATTGTTTGCAGGACTGGGAAAAAATTTAATAATGCTAACTATCTAAAACTCATGAAAAACGGACAGCTGTACCATAAATCTAAACACCATGGTTTAAGTTTTTGATAAAGGCCTTCACTAATGGAAATTAGTTTGGCTGTGTTCTTTGAGCTGGTTGATTTAATTGCGAAGCTTTCATTGTACTTTTAGATATTTTCATAATTTTTTTTCCTTCACGTTCCCAGTGGAACATAGGGCCTCAAGCTAATGGCTTGAGGTTTCTGTAGCAGTGTTTATTTTACAGGATGGGGTTGCTAGCCTCATGCCCAACCTTTCCCCGTAGCCAGCATTATTTCTGGCTTAGCGAGGTAAAGGAGTGCGTCTGCCGGGGATCGAACCCCGAATATTTTTCAGCTCAGGCTTTAACATAATGGGAACTTGTTTGAATTCTCCATGAATGATATGCTTGTATCTCCTGACAACTGTTGTCGTGATCTGTTGTTAGTTTACATCTTCAGTTATCATTTTCATTGATTTGGAGTTTGAGATTTCTTGTTTTGTGAATTAATTTTTATTAATCAATAAATTGGATCTATAGTAATGTGCTTGTTAATCGCTGATTCATCTGAGTGAGTACCAGGCTTCCAGAAAGTCCCTAACATTTTTGGTGTTATATATATTGAAGACTTCTACATTATCCCAATCAAATTGGTGGCCGTAATTGTCCACATTTATCGATATGAAAGATATGTCTTATCACAGGTAGCTTACGTTCTTGGATTCTGATTCGAAAGGAATTCCCATTTCGACCAATTTAGTGTTAATCTCATTTTATGCAATTTATTTTGGATATGCTATTGGTCTTACCTTCTTTTTTTTGTTCAGCGAAGAAATTTCTTTTCAACGACTTCATTTTCAAGCTGTACAGTCGTATTTATATTACAGAAAAAGGTTATTAAGTGGCACTATCGATAGGGAACTAGATAACCTTCGATCAAATCTCCTTAACAATGGTTATCTCACAAGGTTCATTGAACGTAACATCAAGAAAGAATCCGCCCCGAGACAAGTCACAGTACCAAAGAAAAAACTGTTTATTAGTCTTGCATTCAAAGGTGACATCATTTCAGAATTGATTAAAAATCGTTTATCTAAATGTGTTAAACGCACTTTTCCTGCAGCTGACTTGCAACTAGTTTTTACCAGCCGAAGTATGATTAGGCAATGCGTCAAGGATAGATTACCGCTTTTGTCCACATCTATATGCATTTACTCTTTTACATGCTGTTGTGGAGCTGTTTATATTGAACGTTGTAAGCGTAATCTCCGAAAACGTGTAGCTGAACACTATCCGGTTTGGTTAATGAAAGGCGAACGTAGAACTGCAAAGTCGTTTATTTGTGATCACCTGTTAAAGTCTGGTCATTTAGCCCCACGTGATTCATCTTTCAAAGTTATCTACATGACAAAATCGAATCGATCCAAAAGTTTACGTCTTCTTCACTTATGCATAGCCGAAGCTTTAGCTATACATGAACAGAAACCTAAATTATATGTTCAAAAGCGTTTTGTCAAACCCCTTTCTTTACCTTGGTCATAGTAGTGTTCTTTCTAGTTTTTATTTTATTTTACCACTTGAGTTCTTTCCACTTCACATCTTCATTCTTATCGTATTCGTACTCCTAATTTTCAAAATTTTTAGACAACACTTGACATTTTTGATATCAATTCACTTATAAAACAATCTTTAATATTTTTGTAATTTATCCACTTCAACTCTACCCCTTATAACATTGTAATTATCGTTGCTTTTATCACATATATACGTACATTGACTGAGCAATTATTTAGTGCCACTTAATAACCTTTTTCTGTAATATAAATACGACTGTACAGCTTGAAAATGAAGTCGTTAGAAAGAAATTTCTTCGCTGAACAAAAAACCGTGTTTTTAATTATGAATAAATGGGTATTTTTCGAGACTTACCTTCTTTCGCTGTTGGGTCCTGTGGTTTGCACAATATTGAATGGAATGATTGTGTTAGCTTGTGCATTATCTATGTTTCTAATGGTTTTGTATTCTAGTTGTTATTTCTGAGATATTCTTTATATATGGTAGAATAAATTTTCTTTTGGTGTTTGAGGATAGTTTCTTGTTTGTGCTTCGATTCGAGTTTAAACATTTTTTTGATGAAATTGTATGTGCATTCATTTTTCTTGAAGACAGTTAGTAGGTATTTCTATTCTATTCTCTTGAACACTGAAATGCTACAATGTGGGTGAACCCTTTTAAAGAATGTCTGCGCAGAGTTTCTTTTCTGAGTCATTTGGTTACTGCTGTCATATTTGAGCATTTGATCTGTGTGTGTGTGTGTGGGGGGGGGGGGGGGTTGGTTGGTTTTCTGTACACTTCTGTTTCCAAATTTCTTCGCTTTAACAATTAGCTTCTTCAAGAGTTCAAAACATTTATTTCCTGATACGAATTTAAAACAAGCAATAAAGGTTAATAAAGCAGGATTTAATGAATTCATCAAATTTCGGTAGAACTCGTCAGCTGAATACTCTACATACACGGATATATATACTTTTGAAATTCCCATGAAAGAGATAAAGCAAACTGATATCGAATGCCAATTCGAAAATCTTTATGATCAACTTATAGGGCTACATGCCACGTCCAGTGACAGAGAAAGCTGGTTGAAAGCAAAGATGGTTGATATTGCTCATCAATTTCGAGTCATGCCAACCAATCAAAAGTCGCATATCACCAAAGAACACTGGAGATCTTTAAACAAGCTCCGAAAAGACAAAAATCTTGTTATCTTACAAGCTGATAAAGGACAAAGTGTAGTGCTAATGAACAAGATAGATTATCTCGAGAAAATGAATCAAATTCTCTCTGATGAATCTAAATTCAAATTGGATAACCATGCAAAAGACCAAACGTTATCAACTGAAAAGAAAATTGTGCAGCATCTACGACAACTCTTCAAAAATAAATACATTGACGAAAGCACATAGAAATATCAAACCGATTGGGTCACAAATCCCAAAACTATACGGACGCGTAAAAATACACAAACCAGGAGCGCCGTTAAGACCCATACTCTCTATGATAAACTCACCATACCACAGATTAGCACAGTGGCTATGTGAACTGTTGCAGCCCTTGCTGAAACGTTTCGGAACACATATAGTCTCTGATTCATTTCATTTTGTCAATCAAATTAAAGATTTCTATGTATCCGATAAGCATTTGGTCTCTTTCGATGTTACCTCCCTTTTCACAAATGTGCCAGTCGTTGAAACTATCGACTTCTTATGTAAAGAAGCTGAAGACATACCCATTCCAACATCGGAATTGAGAAAATTACTACTTTTTTGTACTAAAAATGTCCAATTCCAATTCAACGGGCGTCTGATCCGTCAAGTTGATGGTGTCGCAATGGGAAGCTCTTTGGGACCACTTTTCGCAGACCTGTTCTTGTCATGCCTAGAAACCGGTACTTTGCAGCAACATATACAAGTGACAAATGCATACCTAAGATATGTTGATGACATTTTTATTGTCTGTGAAAGCAGATCAAAAGCGGAAGACATGTTGATAAAATTCAACTCATGCCATCCAAATCTCAGTTTCACAGTAAAACATGAGGAAAACGATACTATTAAATTCCTAGACGTTTTTCTAGCCAAAATGAATGATGGCACAATCGAAAGATCTATATTTAGAAAGTCTTCACGGACAGGACAGTACATGCACTTCAAAAGCTTTGTTCCAATCCAGTATAAAAAGAACTTAGTCAGAACACTGTTCAATAGAGTACGAAAAATTTGTTCTGACAGTACAATTGAGCATGAAATAAAATCTCTGAAGGATATTTTGTCTAAGAATGGATATCCTGAGAAGTTCATTAATAAATACTCTAAACAAACTACCCCCTGCAAAACAATTCAAACAGTTCCGAGGAAACCTGTCCATATCAGTTTGCCGTTCAAGGGAGATGACGTACAGGAAGTAGTCAAACGAAGACTCGATAAAGCCATCAAGAGAACTTATTATGCTGCAAAACCTGTTATCCTTAACACCCCCAAGCGAGTGCTTCAACAATCTGGGAAAGACCAGTTGCCAATCCTCAACACTTCAAACTGCATATACCAATTTGAGTGTGTTTGTGGCAGCAAATACATAGGTCGTACGGAAAGGCGATTGTCTACTCGCATGATGGAGCATTTGCCAAAATGGTTGAAAACAGCTGAGTGCAAAGTGCCAAAATCCTCAATAATAAAACATCTTGTGGATTACGGACATGATATGTCTGTCTGTCTGTCTGTTTTCGACATAGAACTTTGCACAAATGTGCGGAAGTTCAAGTCGCCACATTCCGTGTAGCACGCGAAGCAAGAGAAGAAAGTACAAGAAAAGCATAATAGAAACAGTGAGCAGATGTGTGAGACAAAGGAGTAATAAAGAAATACAAAACAGTTTCATTGAAGATCGTAAGTCACAGGGAGTGGATGCATCTACGCCACTGAGAACGGTTTTGAGCCATGTCACCAATTGTTTCCAACCATAGATTTTTACCGTCCCGAGGACCCCAGCCTGGAAGTCTACACCTTTCTACGTGGCTTAGACCAACTGTTGTGGATTTCATTGACTGGTGCCGCCAAGTTTTTGTTTGACCGCCGCTAGCTTTTTTCCAGCCTGACCCTATATCCGGACATGATATCGACGTGGTCAAGTCATTCACCATTGTCAGCAAACAAAGAAACAAGAAGATGCTTGCAATTGCAGAGGCTTGTGCAATTCGAATTTATAAATCAGCTCTCTGTATACAAAAGGAGATGGTAATGACTCTGAATCTACCATGGTAATACGTTTTATTCTCTACTTGTTATTACTATTATTTTACCTCTTCTTCTTCTTATTGTTATTATTATTATCATTATTATTATTCTTGACGCACTTCGTTATCATTATTACAACTATTACTATTGACATTAGTCTGTTTGCAATTCTCGTTATATTCCCTGATGACTAATTGTTTATCTAAGTGATGTAATTGAAGCGTAATGCAATTTATCTTAATTTTGATCTCTCATACTCTCTCTCCCCTTATCTATTTGAACATGACTTGTAAATTATTCGCACGTATCTTTCTGCATGACTAATTCAATGTAGTTTGTTTACTTATCAGTCTTATATCTCCCAACGTAATTTCAAAAGTATGTATATCCGTGTATGTAGAGTATTCAGCTGACGAGTTCTACCGAAATTTGATGAATTCATTAAATCCTGCTTTATTAACCTTTATTGCTTGTTTTAACAATTAGCATTGGCACATGTTTATAACTGGGATAAAGTGGCAGTAGGTCATGTACTTGTCGTTTGTCACTTCGCATTTTCTTTTTAACTTTGCTTGCAAACTAGTAGTTGCTCTAAGTTGTTTTCTGTTATTTTTTCGCCCATTTGTCCATCAGGGAGAACTAATTTTTTTACACCATCATAAGTAAGAACTATGATAATTGTTACTGTTATCACTTGTATTTCCTAGAATTAAGAATATTTTAATTCATAACTTCGCTTATCTCTAGATGTTATTCATTGTGTTGGTCCAGTTGGACGAAATGATGCAGCATTAGAATCAACCTACAAAAAGGCACTAGAGTTGTGCTCTGAGCATAGCATTAAATGTATTGCATTCCCTTGCATTTCTACTGGCATTTATGGTAAGCTTGTTATTTTTGGCTGGTTGTACTGATAACGTCACACTTCGGTAGTTTCAAAAGTATTTAATCTTGACTAAAAGGTTTTGTGTATATTCAGAAGTTGTCACACCTGTTTATTTATTTTTTTACTTTGGCTATCTCCCAAGGGAGGATGAGCCGGCTTCATGAACATCTCGAATCATCGCTGCCCAGGGACGGTGATCTGTTGTAAGGTTTTTCGACAGGGTTATCCAATTCTTGTTCCACAGACGGAGTCCGTAGATGGTTTGTGGCCCCAGGCACTCCATATCAGCATTGACTGTACCAAGCCATGTTTTCAGCTGTCCACCCCTGCGACATCGCCAAGATGGAAATGGCGAGGGATTTAGAACTGATTCGACCAGATCGTCATCTAGTCGGCGCAGAACATGGCCAAACCACGGAAGGCGACGTTGTTGGACCAGTACTGGAATTTGGTTGATGTTGTAGAGAGTTCATGAAGTTTCATGGGGATTAGGTACGAGTGATGTCCCCAGCATCGCTCGGCCTTCTGTTTGAGAGTGCAGCTCTAGCCTTTACACAACCAAGTGTGACCTACAAGGCAGTAGGAGTGGGGTAGGGAGTCCACTATCCATTGGCAGCCGGTGACCGAAGTTTGATTTTTTTTTTTGATTTTTGATTTACAGCTTGATTCCACACTGTATTTTTGGTACAAATATGGAATTTTCAGCATGGATATCGGTAGCCCAAATTTTGCAGGCCGACCATAGATATCAGGTGTGCGCCGGCGTGGGCTCGAACCCCGGACCATGTGCATGGTCGGCGAGAGTCCTAACCACTGTGCCACCGGGTCATACGCCTTTTTGAATGGGGCCAGACATCCAGGGCATCCAATAAGCCCTTTGTCCATACGTCTGCCGGTGAGCTTCATACGCCAGTCGTTTGAGATTTGGAATCAGGGTTTAGCCATCTCCCCTAGACTGTCATCCAATGGACAGTCAACCCGGTGAAGAGCGCCGGGTATCCGCTTTTGCCCTCTCATTTCGGTGAAAAACACCACCATGTGAAGGCAGTGAGTGGGACTTCCTCAGGGGAGGCTGTGTAAGACTACCGGTCATATGGGAGCATTTCACAAAGGTTGGTCATTATTGAAAGGTATAAATCTATTCCTCATAAAATAACTGTCAGTTTACATGTGTAGATATTATCTTTACATTTTTTTCAATAAAATATCAAAGAACTTCCATATCGCATATATTTGTTTGATATCATACAGTAATACGCTATTATGTACTAGTTGACTTTTCAGGTACAATTTACTGTAATTGATTCTCATTCTACACAGATTTAACAGATATTTTAAGCTCTAGTACCGCTGAAATAAAAAAAATTCAAGGAAATAAAATTACAGAAGCGAGATATTGAAAATTGTGTGGCTACATCGGTATTATTTTGAGCAGTTAATTGTGTTCAGAATATTACCAATAAATAGTACTGTATCACTGTTCTTTTTAAACAAGTATATTTAATATAATAGTAAATCCTATCGTAGTGTTCAACTTCTTTTTCACGTTATAATAATCATGTCCGCTGATTGTAGAACATATGAATTTAGACCAAGTGAAAACTAATTGATGGAAATGTGGTTCACTAGCATAAGCACTCGATTTTCAGTCCACTTCACCTGCTTCAGCCTGGGTAACTGGGTGGTATTACCAGCCTTCACATAATAAGTGTGGCTCACAGCCCAGTACTGGTTAATTGAGTAATAACTAACTAAAAAGTGATTGTATCATTTCTACGGAGCTTCATTGTTGAGTTGTGTTTTTACAACTGACATTTGTTGTATGTGTACCATTTAGTCGATTCTTCTGGGTAAATGCAATTTTCAATTAACTGTAAATGAATATGGCTTTCTTTTGGATGATTTTTCTTACAAAAGAGTATTTGTTTTTTGGAACATATTTTTGCATTTTCTACATTATGCTTATACTACCAGTGGGATGTAAGCTGGTTAATGTTAATATATCCTGTTTAATTTAGAATTAGTCGTGTTCTCTGCTATGGTTGATTTAATTGCAAAGCTTTTGTCGTCCTTTTAATCATCCACCTGAGCTACACATCTCCATTATTTCAGTATCGTGTTTCATCAAAGTTTTATTTGTAATGTATGTGGTTTTCTAGTAGTTAATCCGTAGCCTCGATGATGGTAATTATTACCCTGTTTTGTTATGTATTAGAATAAGTAATAAATTGTGTTACATTTCACGTCAGCTTTCGCGCTCGAGAGTTTCCAAAGTTGTTACCACTTTCCCTTGCCACATTCAGACTTGATGTTTTGTCAGCTGTTATTTAATGTCATCTGAATTACTGAAATATATCTGATTCTAGTTTTTGTATACTTGCATATTAGGTTTCCCAAATGAAGCAGCTGCCAATGTTGCAATTCGTACAGTGTTGTCATATCTTAAATCTCACCAAGAGGTAGGTTAGTTTGTAATTATACATATTATAAATTTCAAGGCATTGCTAGTTATTTTGGAAGTAATGTTACAATAAATACCGATAGTCGGGTACACAATGAGCACTACTAGTAGTCGATAGAGTTTTGACGAAATAATATTTCTGTACTACTACTACTTATTTAAAACTGCCAACAAAGTGGAGGATATCATTCACAATTTTTGATATCCTGTAAAAGGATAGTGGAGTAACATTTTTCGATTGTTTTCGTTGTATAAAAAGTGTTAACGGCAAACACACCTTTTTGAGGTGAATTACTGACATGTTGAAGCGTAACATTCAAGTTTTCAGAACGTTATTTCGATACACAACGACGACTGTATCTGAATCCTAGGTTGTCCTATGTATTTTAATAGTATAGCAACCCACTTTATCATGATGATGACTTGTTAATTAACCAGAGGGTCAAATTTCGTGTCTATTTGAATTTAAGATCCTGTTCATATAAATTCATTGACTGAATAAATCATAAGAGGATATATCTCTGTTTCTGTTATTTTTTCTGTATAACTCATGCAGTTGATTGTACGAATAAGCAGGTCACACTATACAAAAGCAAATAATTCAACAGAACCATTTAGGTCTGAAATTAAGTGGTATTTTTAAAAATAGTATAAAATACAGCACACAATGTTATATCAAGCACGCTGGGACAACAGGAAAGCATGACGCAGATGTCACTGAAACACTTTATAAACAACAGCCATCTCAATAGGAGGACACAAGAGTTATACACATAAAAGAGGAAGGCTATCACTGTTCGGCGGCCACTGGTTTTTGAACTAACTCCTTTGCCAGAATTCGAACTACTTCAGGACCCCCTCGCTTTCAAACAGCTGTCTTCAGCGACTCTACCTCGCGTTCTCCTCTCTGTCGCGACATCCCTGCAAAAGAACGAGACATGATTATTATGACTACTAATGGAAACAGAATTGGCCCTTAGCGCCTGTCCGGTTTGTTTGAACCGTTTCAACCGGTTGAAATGCACTATCATTCTCTCCATATTGTTGTTGCCGTCTTGTATTTTATGTGTATTGAAGGTTATTTTGTGGTACACCACATATAGGCATGCCCACTGTGTTTAGGCTTTTTTTCGACCCCAGTTGTCAGTTCCTGGTTAACGCAGCCTTACTTTATCACCTGTATTAAATGGTGTTCCCCACCGCTTCTTATAGTAGTATTTCTGCCGTTGCTGTGCTCTTTCGAGTTCCTTGCGTGCATAACTATGGTACCTGGCTATGTCTTCTCGCAATCTCATTACCAATTTTGATGCGGTCATTGGATCATTCCATACGGGCATAACCAATGCATCACTTGGCAGACGTAACTCACGGCCAGTCCATAACATTTGTGGCATCTTCCCCGTCGACATGAGTGTGCTTCCTAGGTATGCCAATAGAATCCGTGGTAACAGAGTGTCCCACGCCGTTTATTCTTCTCATTCTAAAAATAATCGCAGCAATATCTTCAAAGTCCTATTGGTGCGCTCTACCAACCCATTGCCTTCGGGATGTTATGCTGTGGTCTTCGGCTTCTTAATTACAAATAGGTGACGCAGCTCTCTGATAAAGACGCTTTCGAAGTTTGTCCCTTGATCAGAATGCAGTTCCTCTGGTGCACCCCAACAGACAATGCAACAATCGTACATAGCTTTGGCTACTGTAGAAGCATCAGTGCGGTCAACGGGTACAGTCTCACACTACTTAGCAAAATAATCGACCATGACTGAAATGTATTTGTTCCAAAGTGAGGTCCCTCGTAATGATCTCATGATATCTACGCCGACTACTTCGTCGGTTTATCTAGCCTTCATATTAATAAGTGGCGCTCTAGACTTTATCTGTGGGTTCTTTACCTTACCATATGTTGTACACCATTGGACAAAGTCTCAGACGTCGCACCGTTGGTGACGATACCAATTACGTTGAGTGACTGACTGCTTGCAGCATTTTGTTAATTCCGGTGTGTCCCATGTCATAATGTACCTTTTCGCTGTTACGAATGACTGAGAGACTACAACTATTTTCAAGTAATTGGGACGAGGTCGGACACAAAATACCATTCACAATCACTAGCTGGTCCCATAGGGCCCATTGACACCTCGTCTCCCAACTCCTCCCTTTTACATCAGCTTCAGGTAGTCTTCCAGTCTCCTACGAAAGAGGGTTTGATCTAAAGGCACAGTCTCTTCGCCTGTAGCTTGGATATCTACCCCAATAAACCCTGCCAACAAAATAGCACAAATACCAATTTTCTTTCACGACGGTCAGTGTCCATATGGGCTGAGGCAACATCTGGATAACGAATCTGCATTGCCGTGCCACTTCCTAGGACAGTGCACACATTCAAAATCGCATTCCTGGAGATATTACTGCCATCTAGCGGTCTGGCCTTCAGGGTCCTTGGAGTTTTGCAACCACTGAAGGGCTTTGTGATCCATCCTAAGCAGAAATGGTTTACCAGGTAGATACTTGCTAATGAAGGTAGTAACAACCAACATCTCTTTCCTAGTAATGCAGTAGCTCTTTCCAGCACGGCTCAGTGTGCAGCTGCCATATTCTATAATATATTCTTTCCCGTCTTCACTAACCTGAGATAATAAGCTCCCTTGGTTGTTTGACTAGCGTCCGTGTCCAAGATATATTTACGGATTGTTGGGGACGTATTTGGGATTGCTAAGGTGGGTGCCGAGCATAAAGAATCTTCCAGTTACTGAAAAGCACGGTCACAATCCTCTGCCCATACGGAAAGAATATTTTTGCTGGTAAACTTTGTCAAAGGGCTAGCAATTTCCAAATGGTTTCTTACAAAATGGCGGTAATAAGAAGCTAACCCCAGAAAACTGTAACTCATTTGTCGACTTTGGTACGGGCCACTCTTTAACTGCTGTAACTTTCTATGGGTCGCTATGATCACCGTTTCTGCTACCGACGTGCCTCAGGAATGTGACTTACGTCCTCAATAAGTGATATTTAGTAGGCTGCACCTTGAGTCCTATCTCTTTCAAACATCCCCGAACCATGCGCAATCTTTGGATTATTTATTTTATTTAAACGCAGAAAAAACTTGGTACAATATGGCACCAAGAAAGATGCGCCAAATAATAATAATAATAAAACAACATAGATCAAAAGTAAAAATATAAGTAGAAATCGGATAAAGAACTTCACATGTCCAAGACACCAGAGTCGGTGTTTCCAGATGACGACACTCGATGAATGGTGATCTCCACTGTGTTCAAACACACACCGCCGAACCTCATAATTACTCACGCGATGATGCCATCGAACGCAAGCGATCCTGCGGAGACAGCGATGATCGAACACAGAGTCGCCGCACATCCTCAGCTCGGAGAGGCCAGGTTTCACAGGCGTAGAGCAGGACAGCCCGCACCGAAGCATTGTATACCCAACCTTTGACAGCCAAGCTAACGGCGCCAGAGGTGGCTCAAGTTGATGTATGCCACCCTAGCCTTCATTATGTGGTTAGAAATCTCATCCGTCACCCCTCCACCAGCACTCATACAACTACCCAGGTACACAAACTTATCAACAACTTCAAGTGGTTCACCCGAAAGAGTGAGTGCAGGTACAGGCTCCTGCCAATCTTGTAACAGTACTTTGCACTTAGACGGCGCAAACTACACACCATACTTACAGACACTGATCGTCAACTGATTAAGTGTGATTTGGGCAGCCTGCATGCTATCGCACAGTAAGACGATATCGTCTGCATACTCGAGGTCGAAAAGTCTATCTCAAGGTAGCAGATCTACACCACCTTCACGCACATCCTTCAGAGGTGACTCCAGAATGTCATCGATGGCAAAGTTAAAGAGAAATGGAGAGATCGGGCAACCCTGTCTAACCCCACTGTTGGCTGGGAACAGTGATGATAGTTGGTTGTATGCCCTCAATCTACCCGAGATGTTTCTGTATAGGGCTTTCAGGATGTTAACAAATTTCTCAGGTACACCTCTCTCTAACAGACAGTTCTAGAGCACACTTCTGTCCAACGAATCGAAGACAGCCCTAATATCAAGGAACACAACGATCGTTGGCCTGCAGTACGTGTGGCGGTGTTCCAACAACTGACGAAGGGTGAACACATGATCAATGCATCCACGACTTGAACGAAACCCAGCCTGCTCTTCGCGAATCAGTCCCTCACGTATTTTGCACAGCCTATGATTGTCACACGAATTACGTCGACCCTTTTCGAAGATTGTGATAATAATGGCTTCGTTCCACATTGATGGTACACTCTCAGTCTCCCATACCTTCCTGAACAACCCAGTTAGAGCCATTGTGAGAGTCTCGCCACCATCTTTAAAAAGAGCCGGGGGTAAATTGTCTGGGCCGGGTGCCTTATGGTGTTTTAACACTTGGAGTTCCTTACGGACCTCCGCTTCGGTTGGTGGGTCGGTACTAACCGACCAAGGAGCACTCGGGCTAATGATAGTAAACACTGAAGCTGGTGGCCAGCTAAACTGCTTCCCGAAGTGCTCTGCCCAGCGTTCCAGGCGTCTTTTCAGGCTGGTAATTGGAGTGCCATCTGCCTCACAGACCGTCTCGCTGACACCTTGTTTCTTGCTGCCGGTGGCTCGTATGAGTTGGAACAGCTTCCGACTGTTGCCAGATGCAGCAGCTGACTCCATCTCACACGCACGTTCTGACCACCAGGCTTCGCGGTCCTTACGTAAACACTGTCTAATCTTGCGCGTGAGCGCCTTTCGCTGATTGTTGTATTCGCTGCCAGCCGGAATGGACCGGCGTTCATCCATGAGTTGCAAGGAACTCGCAGAAACCCAGTGGTTGTTAGCGGAGCATTCTTTCAAGCCGCAAGCGGCTACACTCGCCTTTTGCATGGCACCTTGCACATGAAGCCAATGTTCATCTATACTACTTGGGGGGTTGCTGGCAAGCATTGTTTTTAACTCATTCTGATATTTCAAAGAAGTAGCAGGTGCTACTAGTTTGCTCACATCAACGCTTAGACGACGGCTTTTACGAACCCCACCAAATCGCAAGACGAACTTGGCACACACTAACGCATGATCGGAGTCCAGGCATGTGCTCCAGAAGGAGCGACAGTCTTGTATGCATCCTCGCCACCGGAAACTGACCGCAATTATGATCAATCTGAGTCCAAGCTTGCTTCGCAGAGGGAGGACGCCAGGTAGCGCTACGGCGATGGCTGTGCCGGAAGTTGGTGCTAGCTAGAAATAGGTTGTGATCCGCGCAAAGCTGCAGAAGACGGTCCCCATTATCTGACCTGCGACCATGTAGTCCCCACTGACCACCTAGACGATTCTCCTCTGAGCTTAGACGCCCGACCTGTGCATTCAAGTCCCCAGCCAGCACTACGATATCCCTCCGACCCGCCTGTTTCAAGAGATCGCTCAGTTGGTAGTAAAACTCATCCTTCATTGCATCCGGGCTGCAATCCGTCGGTGCATAGGCAGAGACAACAAATAGACACCGCCTATCTGGCCTACTACTCCTTACTTTCTTATAACCTTCCAGCCTCACAGCACATAAACGACTGTTAATGGGAATCTATTCGGGCTATACAGCTTCGGCTCTAGCACTCAGTGTGACACCAACACCAGCTACGCCGGATGACGACGCCACACGGTCCCCGGATAAGTGCAGTTGGTACATACCACTAGAACTTCCAGATGGAGAGGATAGTCGAAGCAGAAATTTGTACCGATCTTTGAGGATTTCATTCATTTTATTTCGATAATCTGATTTACTCAAGATGACAACGGCCTCTCCTTCGTCAACTTTAAGGATAATAAGGTTATCTTTTCTGATGTATTCCGGCATTTTATAAATCGATGAGAAATGTCCACCAGTTTAACTTTAAACCAGTTCAGGTTATCTGTACTAGAGTGGGTTATATCAGAGATTTGTTCGTACAGGTTTTCATACTGTGATTGAATTTCAATATTGTTTATTTTCAGAGGGTTAGTTTTGTATTTCAGTTCGTACGATAAGGCTTCCAACTGTTGTTGGGATAGAGTGCAAGAACAGAAATATTAATTATATGCTTGTGCAAATCTTGAGGATATTACAAAATGTGGTTCGTGTTTTTCAAAGCTTTTGTTAACTTTTGTTCCGTGAAACTTATGGTCTTTTTTACCATATCTGTTAAATATCGTGAATTTAATTGGACATACTAAAGATAAATTATCCGAAACGGAGATAAGTTTTTGATGTGTTTCGATAAATTTTGAAAGTTTGTCATTAATTTCATCGATTTCTAATTCAGCAAAATGCTGAAGGTTGGAGTGTGAAGATTTTGACTTATTCCAACGTAGTGATTTGTAAAACAATATGGAATAATGTTTATTTTCTACGCAGTTGTGATAAAATTTTAATCGTTCACACTGAATGACACTTTTACATATGAGATTCAGGAGTCTTATAGTATCTCTAGGGAGCTTCCGTTCAAGAAAATTAAGACAATTAGTCCCTTTGGTAAATTTAAATAAGGCATTTAAAAAGCAAATTTCGCGGCATGATATCATTTCGTAGTTTCTTTATCATCGCTTTACTATTAGCATGGTTCACCATATTAATAAAATAAAATAGACTTCAACCTTTGCCTACCATGGACTACTTAACCTATATAAGTGTGATCAGTCATTAGTACGTAATTTTGTTTTATATAACTGAGTAACTGTCATATATTTTATTTTATTATATTGTGAACCATGCTGATTGTAAAACGATTATAAAGAAATCGTAAAGATTGGAACTATGAAATGATATCATGTTGCGAAATTTGTTTTCTAAATGCTTTATTTAAATTCATCACAGGAACTGATTCTTTTAATAGTATAAAACCTATATACTTAGGATCTATTGCCGATGTAAGAAACATTCTATCAAAATGGACCTGTTCGTATTTATCGATTTCTTCTTGCCTTTTTGCTAACGCAATACAAATTATAATTGGTGTTTGTATTTATATGCAATGAAAAGATGTGAAACTTAATAGTGTTCTATAGTTTTATAGGATTTGAAAGAAAGAAAATGTTTATATCAGTTCAAATTGTTTTATGCGTTTACATTCCCATAGTTGAATGATTGCATCTGATTCAAATAATCTTCTTGTAATAGTAGTCTAAGTGAATGTAGTAAGTTAAACATTGGTTGCTTGAACTTATAAGCAGGATTGACATACAGTATATGTTCTTAAGAAGGAACAGAGCTCTTTGTAATGGAGCTTGCTTTCTTTCATTTGTAGAATGCTTTGTGTATTGGATTAATAGTGTCTTCTAAGATCGCTTTATGATTTCATTTTTGAGATATTATGAAAGCTAAAACAGCAGGTAATAAATGAATCTTCTTTGTTGTTAATAATAGGCGTAAAGCGAAGCGAAATCAAAGTTCTCTAGAATAAAAAAATAGTTTCGTATAAAAAAAGCATATGGTATGTATCATAGTTGTGGCATATGCTACTGATAAGATTTATCACTAGTACATAAAGAGACTTACGTGGGAAATTGTCGCGGGTGGATGTTGAGCCTGAAGGAGTATGATTTCATGATCTCACACATCCCTGGTAAAGATTCTTTTGTTTTTACGGGATGGGGTTGCTAGCCTCATGCCCAACCTCCCCTCCTTACCGGCTTAAGGGGTTCTAGGAATGCACTGGTCGGGAATCAAACTCCAGACCACATTTGGGGTTGGTGAGGATTGTAATATGGTATCGCTATATAGCGGAATTATGTACACCTTATCTTCGAATCACCATTTGCACAGATCTTCCCTGCTGTGTTACTTCTGTCCTTCACGTCTCATGTTTCTCCGCAAAGCTGTATCATTTGCTTTCTCTGACTTCAAATCTATCTCCTCGCTATTAGACGTTTTCATGCTGATGAACGTTTTTTATATACTACTGCTAAATCTTATCAGTAGCACACGCCACGTCATCCCAAGTCGCTTATAATAGTACCAATGTTTTTTAAGGGTTACAATTAATTCTCGTTCGTATGTTTTTAAAAATTGAATTTCAGATTGAACGTGTCATCTTTTGCATATTCATGGATATCGATTATAAAATTTATGAACGCTTAATTCCAGAAATACTGAATTCATACAATTAATTCAGTTTTCCATATATTTCTGGAAAGATTTGGATTTTTAAAACCGTTCGACTAACTTTCGCCCATCATTCATTTATACAGATAAATGTGAAGCATTTAAATACATCATGGAACCTGGGTTATCTTGTTTCCGTTATATAATTGTCACTATGTAACTGACTGTAAGAAAGAGTTTAAAACATTGAATGTTTTATTAAATTTGCATACTTGTTCGCCTTTTTGTAATTGGTGTCGTTCACCTGGGTTATATCGTGGTATACAAATTAGTAGTATTTTCCACTGATCTGAATAATCCCGATGAAGAGAGAAAATCGTGGTGAAGTTTCCCTTAGAACTGAGTAAATTGCAAATTGCGAATTAATTTGCAAATAAACATATGATTTGTAGTTTGATAATCGTCTTTAGGCTACATCGTATTTACAACATTTCGTTGGTGAGCAGTAAGTATGATGATAACCAGTTTACTAAACTGGTTCGTATCAGTATCGTGACTGGAGATATTTTTCGCTATCCACGATAACACATTACTCATTAGCCGACTGAGTATCGTTCCGATTAAAAGATGGAGCGTGTACAACTATTCTAGGAAGAAGGAAGAAACAAGACAAGGAATGGCTATCAACAGATACTTGGAAGCTATTCGAGGAGAGAAGATGGCTCACTGTAAAGATGTACAACAAAAGGAGAAGCTGAGTTAAATGTACAGTGCACTGAATAAAGAAGTCAATAATAGTGTTAGGAAAGACAAACGACAATTCTACGACACACTGGCAACTGAAGCAGAACAGGCAGGCCTCAGGTAGAAGAGACCTCAGGACATTATACAAAATAATCAGGCCTCTATCTGGAGGGAGATCAACACAGATGAAACCTATAAAAGATGGTCAAGGGAACCTGATCACCAAGGAGGAGAAACAAATCAAACGATGGGCTGATCACTTTAAAGGACTCTTGAATCGACCACCACCGGCAACTCCCCCCAAAATACCACCAACAGAACGCACAGAACTGCGAGTGGACACCACTCCTCCAACGAAAGTGGAAATCCTGAATGCGATCAAGCTACTGAATCCTTGCCGGAAAGGCAGCAGAACCAGACGGCATCTCTACTGAAGCACTGAAGGCAGCCCCGGAGATTACAGCAGATGTGCTCACTCTATTACTGCAAAACGTTTTGAAAGAAGGAAAGGTGCCTACTGATTGAAAGAACGGCTACCTCACGAAACTGCCAAGGAAGGGGGACTGAAGCTTGTGCAAGAACTGGTGTGGGATAATGCTCTTGTCCACGCCAAGTAAAATACTAAGTCACATCATTCTGGAGAAAATAAAAGATGCACTGGATACAGAACTCCGCCCGGAACAAGCTGGATTCAGGAAAGGCAGATCTTATGCTGATCAAATTGAAACTCTACGCATCGTCATCACAGAACAAAGCATAAAATGGCAGTCAAACATCTACCTCAAGTTAATTGACTTCGACAGCGCAAACTGAGAAGTAGTTTGGAAACTACTTCAACACTACGGCGTACCTCAAGTCTTCTTCAACCTCATTCAACAGCCATATGACAATGCCACATGTCAAGTGATCCACAATGGAAAAATTAGCAAGGCGTTCGAAGTCCACACAGGAGTAAGACATGGCTGCCTATTGTCACCGATGATACTCTTAATTGTGGTGGACTGTATTATGCATCAGACTGTAGGAAGTAAGAAAACAGGACTGGGCTGGACGACCGATAGGAAGACTCTAGAAGATCTGGATTTCGCGCTTGGATGATTTATGTCTAATTGTCACACAGTTCCCAAGTTTTATACCTATGTCGATTACTTCCTTCACTTATCTAGAGAGCGTCGTTTCAACTACAGGCGGAACGGATTAAGATGTCAAAACTGGTCAGAATCAGAAAGGCGAAATACGCCTTCATCAATCTATAACCAGTTTGGAAAACTTCCACACTCACTCAGCATAAGGAACAAGATTCTCATTTCCAACACCAATGTGAAGTCGGTTCTTCTGTAGGGGTCAGAAACTTGGCTTGTCATGAAAAGGGTTTCCAACAGGTTGTAGATTTTTATCAGCAGCTGCCTTCGCTCCAGACTGAAGATCAAATGGCCAGCCAGAAAGAATTAGCAACAAGAAACTATAGGAACGAACCAACCAAGAGCCGATCACCCAACAAATATGAAGAAAGTGAAGATGGATCGGGCATACATTTAGGAAGCCGCCGAATGACATCGCACGCCAGATCCTCGGGTGAAAAACAAACGGGAAGTGACGAGTGTGTCGTCTTAGGTTGATATGGAGGAGATCGGGTGAGGAAGAGATAAGAGAGTTTGGTTAATTGTGGACCCAACTGAAGAGGACAGCAGAAAAAAGTGGAGATGTGTTATTGAAGCCCTATGTTCCACTCAGAACCTAAGGGAATAATAATAATATTAGCCGAATATTTTCATCATCAGTTTCCTGTAAGTATATGATGGGTAGTTTCATGTAGACTGCTGTGTTACTGTATTGCTTTTTAAACTTGATTTGATGAAGTAGAATTAAAACCCACTACTTAAAAATTGAGCACTTAGTGCAATAATGAACAAGTCGTACGATCACAGTGGCAAGTTAGGAAACTTATTGTTGAACCTTTTCTTCTCTAAAATTTTCCTTCTACGTGTGGCTTAGCCTGACTAACTTGTTGGAGACATCATCCAAGGTGTTGTTTTCCCATTAGTCGTGTAGTACTCATGCTCAAAACTGACGAGATATTAAGCAATGGGCTTAAGGGTATCAATGGTATTTTATTTTGTACACCCGTTGGACACAGTTACAAGTCTACTGTTTCTAACTCTTCATGTGTATATCAGTCGTTTTTCATGATGTTGTTCATGAGTAATATTTGCCAACTTAAATCATTTGTACTGTTATTCTAGATTTTGAAAAACTGTGTGCATTTGTTGTCGTGATTGTATCGACGGTTTTATCAATCATGTTGCTGCCGAAATCTAGGTATGTGTTTACTTTTGTGTGGATACACATTGAATCTAAACTTCTGGACTTACGGTTCACAAGTCGGAATCGCGTCGTCATATAGAAGGATACGTTTCTTTTATATTTACTGTGTCTTACTCTACGGGAGTTTAGGACCTCCAGTTACTACTTATGAAACCGGTAAACTAAAATTAAGAACTTTTTCACAAGTATCACCCCCGTCCCAGGCTTTTATTTTATTATTCGGCATACATGGTGTTATTAATAATGACTAGTTCTTATTTGTACAGTCTAATACAGTATGAAGTCAAGATTCATTTTTGGTTAGAACTTATTAAAGCCAGTTATTTTGACGTATGTATTATTTAGATGAAGCAATAAGAAGATGTAATTTGTCTCGCCTCTTAACTTTTTATTAATTTCATTGCATTGTTAACAATGCGTCAATTTACCCAGTTATACTTTGTGTAAACACCCTATTTACGTCCCTGAAGGACGGTTTGTGCTCCCGTGCATTTTGGAATGGTTTTCAACATACATCTTGATCTTTTCTGAAGGGGCAGATATGTAGGGGGCCTGAACATGTTACAAACAAGAAAATTCCATTGAATCATGTACTCTAGATCACTGTTTTACTTGAAAGTTCTGTAAGGGAGTATGCAGAGACGAGTTGAAAATTCTGTATTGTATATAAACATATTCAGAATAAAGTTATCACGATTTTTTAATGCACATTGTCGAGGAGTTCTTGATCGGTCTACTTTTATCTTAATCTAAGTGATCTGTTTATTAACCGTCATGTGAAAGTTGTGGTCTTTTGGTGTTGTAAATTGATATATACAGACCTAATTTCCTAAATGTCATTTTTACATGTCTGTTTGTATTTCTCTCTCCTCACATACTGATTTATGACTTGATTTTCTCTCACCCTACTTATGACCTTTGGAATTCTATTGGTTGCTCACTGTCTTAATTCATTAATGACATTGGTGCTTCTCAAGGTCATTTCAAACATATATATCGCAAGCTCTTTTGGCTGCTGTTTCGAGACAGTAAAAGCTCTCTCACAAGCGTCCAGTCTTCTCTTCTGTCTTTGTGGCCCGACGGTTTTCTGTTATTGATGTGCGATTAGGACAGATTAGCTAGCCCATTGAAGTTATTTTTCGCTGATAGCCTCCTAGGTCATAGTTCCCGTCATAACATAAACATTTCACTCTACACATGTTTAATTCATCAGTCAGTAGCAAGAATGAGGTAATATTTTTTTTCCTTTACGTTCCCAGTGGAACATAGGGCTTCAAGGTAGTAGCTTGAAGTTTCTGTAGCAATGTTTATTTTACAGGATGGGGTTGCTAGCCTCATGCCCAACCTTTCCTCTTTACCAGCATTTTTCTGGCTTAGCGAGGTAAAGGAGTGCGTCGGCCGGGGATCGAACCCCGGACCATGTCCACGGTCGGCGAGCGTCCTAACAGCTATGCCACCGACGCACAAAGAATGAGGTAATATAGGTAAATATAAATAAATCAGCAACTAGAAACTTCTTTTCAACGAATCATATTCGAAAAACTAGACCTAGTACGTTCGTTTCACTCAAGGATTTAGGAGATCTGTTTGCAAGAGACTGAACAGCGATCCTTACGTGAAACTTCAACAGAAAATGGAAATCGATGAAAGAAAAACTACCGTCAAAAAAGTCACAAATGTTCTTAAGAAAACGGTACATGAATCTTGAGTTCGGAGATGATATTTTAGCTGAAATTCTTGAAAACTGCATTTTCAAACATCAGGAGAGGGCGTTCCACGTAGCTATCACATTCTTCAGCAATAAGTTAATCTGTTAGGGACAAGATACGGTTTCTGGCTGCCTGAATGTATATTTATCAATTTACTTTTTTATATGGTGCAAATATATCGTATGTACATCATCTCAAGTCCGTTCACAATGAACACTGATCAATCTAGCTAGTCAGAGGCTCGACCGATTATTTCTGTCTTGACGTACTGGTCGGGCTTGCATGAT